CACACACACACACACACACACACACACACACACACACACAACCATGACATTCACACCCGTGATAAAAGTATAACTTATTACACTTTGAGTCCGACACTGACTGACCAGAGAAGAAACATACAAAAGTTCATTTTGCTCCATGCTGCAGAAATCCTACAAGGGTTAGGATGAAAATTGGGACTACAGCCTGTATTGTGGAGCAGCAACGTTACCTGTTTCATGGGACTTTTTCAGCATCTGAAAATAAAAGAAGAAAATCTATTAGCAAAACTTACTCCCTCATTTGTTTACAGTTTCACGACGTTCAAAATAATTCCATCTTACTTCCTTCAGATAAGGGGAAAAGGAAAGAAAAAGCGGCTCTGCCATTAAAATTACACAAAGCTCACTACTGGCTGTAACACAACTACTGCATCATTAGGACTAAACTCACCAAAGCGTCGGCTTTGTCGAGGTCTGTGAGCTGGTACTGCTGCTGCTCCGGCCCCCGGCTCTTCCCCCACGGCCCCTTATCCGCGACCCGCTGCCGGGCTGAGCCGTGCAGTCTCCGCAGCGTGGCACCGGCGGCCGGCGGCTGGACCTGCTTCACCAGCCGGGCGTAGTGACACACGGCCTGCGGCAGCTGCCTTCTCATGAACAAAGTCAAGAAAGCCATTACATCACTAACCACTGCTAGCTAAAGTATGAGCCGAAAGAAAAAGCACAACACGACCTCCGCATGCCCTGTGAACCCTCAACCCGGAAGAGTCTCAGGTAAAGGCGCAGTAAAAGGTAGGCAGAAAGGAAACAGCGCCACCATTCGTCGGAAGACAAATATATCTATATCTATATATACATCTTTATATACATCTTTATATACATCTTTATATATATATATACACACACGTATGTCTTTTATTTTTCTTTACCTTACTTTACTTTTCTGTTTCCGCAAGTGCTTATGTTGACATTTACCCTCAACGTCATTGAAGACGCCCTGCAACTACACATTTGCGCCACATGGGGGCGCGAGAACACAGGCCATTTCCGTTCTTCTTTATTTATTTGATTGCAAAAACTTAAACGCAATGTGAAATTAAATGCATTCACTGAATTCAGGGATTCGCGAAATCTTAATAAATTAAATCTAAATATGAAATATTTTAATATGCAGAAGAAAAACATGCTTAGATCTGAGCAGGTCTAAAAACGTCAAATGTATGGTTATGGCAGCTTATTGGGCAGCTTATTTATTTATTTATTTATTTGGTCACATATTGAAATACATTTTGTGTTCATGTTTTTAAATTGACTCTGTGCAGTCCTGTGAAAAACTAAGTCCACCCTATTCTTGTTAAATTCTTTCAGTCACTGACATTTGCAGACATTTGTTTATGCACAGCTCTCTTGAGGTCCCACCACAGCATTTAACTTAGACTGAAGTTTGGACTTTGACTGGGCCGTTACATTGATTCTTTTTGTTTTTCAGTGATTCTATTGTAGATTTGTTGCTGTTTGGGATCATTGTCCAGTTGCAAGATCCGATTCCAGCCACACTTTAACTGTTGGACAGATCGCCTCACATCTGACTCTAGAATACTTTGGTATACAGAGGAGTTCATGATCAGCCATACTTTTTTGATCATTTTCTAATCAAACTCTTATGAACTTTTTTTCAGGATTGCCCAGAGTCATGTGGAAACTTCTTTTTTCCGAAGCCTGTAGTTTAGCTTCTGTCTGTAATAAAGTCAGTTAAGTTTTTATAGACTCCAAAAAGAGGCCATGAATAAATATTATATGAATATTAACAAAATAATTTGTGTTGCTAGCAGATAATAACATGATGATGTCAATCATTAAAAAAAACCCTGAAGACAACAACCAGACGTTTCTTAATTAAAAGATAATCTTGTAATTCTTCTCCTCAATTTAAAAATAGTGTCAGATACCCAAATACTGTATCACTCTACATGCCCCACACCTGTGTGGGTGTGTGTGTGTTTGTGCTCTCGCGTGTTCTCATTGAGGATGAGCAGACAGCTTCTTCCTGTACGCCTTTTGTCTTTGTCGGCCTGCTGGGACCCAGAAAGACCACACCTATCGTACCTGATTGTTCAGCATGAGGAGCATAAAGAGCTGCGCAGATGGGAGTTTGTATTTTTATTCCTCTGTGTGTGTGTGTGTGCGTGTGTGTGTGTTTGTGTGTGTGTACAGACAGCCAAATCTTTGATGTAATTCTGCAGCTGACCTTGTGGTCATTCTCACGCTACTTTCTCTAACACAATGGTAGACTGATGTTTGAGTAAACATTTACAGAGAGCGCTCACACATACAGCTTACAGTGAAATTTGCTATATGCTACAGCTGTATATTAGAAAGAATGATCATTGTCATACTTATTTGTATGGACAATTTGTCAACAATTGGTGAAGTAATAATCACTGTGTTGTGTACATGCTGTTTTCTAAGCAGTAATCCATAATGTGGCATGTAATGGAAAATATTTGCTGAGAAACAAATTTCTCTCAGTGGTCACTCAGTGGATTGTCTGTATATAAATTCTTTTACTTTTTCCTCCCACTGTTCAACCCTGTTTTCTCTTCCATCTTCAGCATCCTTTGTCCAATATATCCACTATCCCCAGGTCAGCCATCAGCTATCTCAGCATTGCCTCTCTAACTTTGTCTTCTTCACTCCAGTGAAAACCTCTTCAGCTCCAGTTCCTGTCTTTTTTTGAGGGGTGCCAGAATTTAATGATTAGCATTTAAAATGAATGAAAGAGTTGAATTGTTGCCTGTGATGCTTTGATAAAAACCCTGAAGATAGAGACGCATTTACCAATTCGTTGCCTTACTTTGTGTAACAGCTGAGGGTCTGGCTGTTCTTGTGATAATACTGAAAATAATGCATTCTTTCTATATACATGATTTCATCACAATATCTCAATATGTTTTTCATTTGTGGACTGCAGGCAGGCCAGTTTAGCACAGAGACTGCTAATCTTAAGGAGCCATGCTGTTGATCATGGTCTGGAATTGTTTTGCTGAAACTGACATCATCTAGATGGCTGCATATATGCATATCTCTATCAGCTTATTGTATATTATACAGTCCCAGTGGTGCCTTCACAGATGTGCAGCCACATGCCCCAGTTCATCCCCATACCATCATCCATCATTATCATCACAGATTCTGGCTTTTTAACTGTGCACTGAGAACATCTTTTTTTCTTTGCATCATAGTTGCATCATGTATTTGAGGATGCACTGACACATCGTGTTCACAGATGATGGTTTTAAGCCCATTCAGGAATTTCTACTAATGAACAGCGTCTTTTTTCAAAAAAATCTAGTGCTGCCATGTTATTTTGAGCACAACTCCACAGAATCAAGTGTACAACTGCACCTGCAGTGGACGATACTGCTTCAGTGATTTAATGCAGATGTGGATGTGCATGTTGTGTTGTGTTGTTCTGCCAAATCAGCCAGGACGAAATGAAACAGCATTTTAAAGAGCAGATTACAAACAAGCTGGACTTTAACAATATTCTGCATTTCTGTCATTTGGGTATTGTGTCAATACTATATAACGGATGTCATTTTTAATGGATTAGCTGTGGTGATGCTGTAGAGATGGAAGTCATAACTAAAACTGACAGTATGTTGTACAAGTTATTTGAAGCAAAGCTAGCAGTACAGTTGGTCCTCCAGTTCTCCCGATTTACATCTTCACCAGCCTCTTTCACTCTCTGTCCTCTTCTACTCCCACCCCAATTTTTTATTTTAAAAGCCATATTCATATTTTAATCACATATTTTTTTCTTAAAACCCTTTTTGTTCTCAGTTTATTGTTTTGTTTGTTTGTTTTATTATGACATATTCTTTTTTTGTGTGTTTGGAAATATTTGTCTTTCATTAGCTTCCCATTTCAGACCAGCTCATCACTTTGTCTTCTAGCATCCATTTACTAAATTTCCACCTTTGTGTAGTCTTCTAGAATATTCCCCACTCTCTCTAAACAAATATAACAGAAATTGTCTGACACTCAAGTCCTGCTCGCTATTTTTAGAGTTAGTGTACATTTCACTGGACTAGCATGACCTTCATCATTTGCGCTGTCACGCGTCCAGCAGCATTTGGCTCTCCTTTCTCAGTTTTGCTGGTCTGGAAAAGTGAAACAAACACTTAAAGAGTAACTGTGTGTAGGACTGACCATGCAGCAAAGCTACTGCACTAAATACTAAACCCAAAACAAAGCTGTGTGGCTATCTGCCAAGGCCTGATTGTGTTTGTCGTGTTCGTGCCTTTGAGAGCATTTTTAATGCATAATAATGTGGCTTCCTTGGTCATATTATTATATCTTCTACTGTCAGAACATCCAAGAAGTCTGTGTTCAGTTTTTCCAGGTGACTGAAATTATAATGATAGAAAAAAAAGTATAATTTATACTTATGTTAATTTTAGCAAATTTCTGTGTTTGTGTGATGCATATATACAAATCTATGAATGCAACTTGCTAAATAACTTCACCTATTGATCGAACAACTGTCTGTTGTTGTTCCAAAATAAAAGCCATGATGCCTAACTCGAGGTTTTAAATGTAGGTCACAAAGCAATAAGTGACCTCCATTTTTATCTAGTTTAGTTTTGACACACATAGCAACATAAAAAAAGTAAAGAAAAAACATAATATTGTTACAGATGAAAAAAATCTGGTGTAGTTTAAGTTTGCATTTAGAGCAGAATTGGTGAAAAGTTGCATAAGATTTTTTGCTTTTCAAGCATGGAAAGAACATCAAAACCAAGGCAAAAAGCTTAGATGGTGCAGGTCTCAGCTGTGTGCTAACTCTTTGCTTTTCTCCTTGCTTTCTCCCTGTAGCAAAGATGATAGCAAAAAGGAAATAAAGGGACAGATAGATGGACGGAGGAACAGGAAAGGGGGAGATGTGTATACGTGCGGAGCTGCACTAGTCTGCGTTACATAGTCTGGGGGATTCCAGCCAGCTGCACTGGGAGCACTGACCTTGGCAGCTATTGCTCTGTTTTTCAATCGGCAGGACAAACCAGCGTTAGATGTAAGTGTCAGCTGGTCAGACAAATGATTTACTGACATTTACTGACACAGACTGGAGCTTAACAAGTCAGCGCACGTGTGACCGGTGCAGAAAAATAAATCAAACGTGTTTTCTGAATGTACTAATGTGCTGTTTTCAGCCCGATCATTCACTTCTACCTCACTTCGTTATGCAAGCACTGCAATACAAGTTATAAAATTCTCTGTGCCTCTGCTACAGGATACAGGATGGGAAGCTGTCGGGGTTATTTAACGGTGCAGGTGTGTGAATGTGTTTGTTTCCATTCTTGTTTTTTCCTTCCATTTTGGAGCTGCTTTGCTTTTGATCTCCTGGGAGTCCAGATTTTATTTTTGAGGCGAGTTGTTTTCGCTGACAATAACTCTTGCACTGATTTGTGGAGCCTGCATGCGAGGTTAACCATTTATGCACTTGTTATATCACCATCCTCTGTATGTCCTGCAAAGTCTGGGCTAACTGTTCAGACTCTAGGAGCAAAGCAGGAACTTGCTTACCCTTTATAGTCAAAGCCAGACAATGAATCATCCTGCATCTATCACTGCTATTAAAGCTGTAAGCTGACTCCTCTGGTTGCTTGCCAGCAGCAAATCTTGGAGGGCCCGTGTTATTTTGGTGTCAACTCTGCTTACCATGTAGGCTGTAAGATTTGAAAATCACCTAATTAAGACGAATGCTGAATTGTTATGTCCCATTAAGCACATGTCTATGAGATTAGAGTTAACCTCACGAAAAGTCACACGCTTCCAATGATATCTTGTTTTTCCAACACTGATAAAAATGTCCCACAACTCCGTGATGAGCAACAGCAAAACATATTGATGGGCTGGTCAATACGACGACCTTTCACACTTACTTTGTGACAACTGTGTGAACAAAAACATGATCGACAGACAACAACTGGAACATTTCCTAAATGGTTTTCATGTTGATCCTAAAAATATTGGTTCTTATTAAATAGTGAGGCATCTTTTTATAGTTTTACATTAGCCTGTGAGCTTTTAACAGCCAGTTAGATGAATGTCATGGAATATTTCAGACTTTAAAGGTATTCCATTACTCGAAATATCGTACATCAGGTGTTTTTTATTTATTCTGCCTGTTTGATTTTACATAATCATATGATGTACATGTATTGTGTTGTGCTGCATGTTTTCAGCTATGAATAGAGCAAATTTCCCTGCTGTTATATAAGCTGGTTATGACCTGAGTCTTCGACAAAGGATGCTCTTTTTGCCTACACTGATGCAGTAACAACAAAATCTGGAATTCAGTTTTGATCTCTGACTGCGAAGTGTTCTTTGCTCAGCCGAGTTCAACGACTCGGTAAATATGTGTCCAGACGCAGTCGATCAAAAGCCTCACGGGTCGCGTTGTAACCTTAACCTGTTTAACTTCATCAGTCCTTCAGCGTGTGTGCTCTTCCCCATGAAGAGTGTTTAAATAAATCTATTTTTTTTATTTTGCTTTTCTTTCAAAGAAGTAGACAAGAAGCCCAATATTGATGTCATGTTTGCACACTCACGAGATTATCTCCGTCTGAATTTTATCTTAAAAGACTTTACACAGGAGGCGACAACAAGACTGACTCTGTCTACAGGTAACAAAATCCACCCGTCCATCATCTTCAGATCCCACTAATCAAGCGTTTTTTTTTTGCTTTTTTAGAAATTTTGTGTGATTAATGTGGACACAATCAAAGCACTGAAACAGGTTTTAGGTGGGTTTTGGGGTTTGCTTAAATCTCATCTGCCTGCCTAAGAAGAAGAAGTGAAACCAAGTCTTCAGTAAACACAGAGAGCAGTTAATTTAATCTAAGCTTATACAGCTTTTGATAAGAAAGGAACTGGTTGTATTTCCCACAAACTTAAAGCTAAGATGCTAAAACTCACAGTAATTGACTTTGTTTATAGTAAACACACACATACACACACACACGTATACAATGGACACTGTTTTGCATAAACACAGGTATACGCTCATGTGAAAAAGAACATTTTTATAGGGCTCTGCACAATCCTTGGACAACTAAGAACAACGCATTACTCTTATTTATACTTAATTAACTCTGTCTCTCATTCCTTGCTTTTGCACATTTTGCTCTGTTTGCATTCTTATTCTTGTTGGCTACAAATTTCATTTCACCCCATGAATGCATGAAATGGCAATAAAACCCACGAATCATTATTCACTTTCTTGCAGAGCCACCTTTAGCAGCATTAACTTGGTAAAATCACTTTCTGTATGACTTTATCAGTCTCTCACATCATTGTGGGAACATTTTCTTCTTACTCTTCTTTACAAACTTCAGTGTTTCAGCTCATTGTGATTTGTGGCCTTTCATTTATGCACAACTCTTTTAAGCTCTCGCCACAGAATTTCAATCATGTTGAGGTCTGGACTTTCTCTGTGCCCTTGAAGCACCTTGATTCTTTTTTCAGCCCTTCTGTTGTAGATTTGCTACTGTGCTTGGGTTCATTGTCCTATTGCATGACCCAATCTTGACCAAGCTTCAGCTTTCAGACAAATAGCCTCACATCTGACACTAGAATATGTTGTAATTACATAGGAGTTCATTGTCGAGTGATTGTAAGGTGCCCAGGTCCAGTGGCTGCAAAGCAAGCCCAAATCATCACCGAGGCTTGTAGAGACTGTGATGTAGCTCTGCAGTTGTTTTTTGTTTGTTTTGAGCATTGCAGGATCTGACCTTAGAGGGAATTTGCTGGGATGTTCACTCCTGAAAAGATTCTGACATTCTGCAAACAGGCACCAGAATCTTCCAGACTTGTAAACTGTCAAAATGTCTGCTTTTATAGAGGTGCTAACACTTGCTGATGATCAATACATTGACTGCATTTGATTAGCAGCATCTGGCTGCTACTTACAATCTTATTTCATATTGAAGACATAGGGATGTTTTTCACAGGACTGCAAATCCTGTAAATACTCCTGTAAAAACTGCAACTACTCTACTGCATAAAGTTGCATCATTTTAGATGCATACGTTCCAGCAGCTGTAAATGTGCTATTAATAGTCTGTTATGGCATCTTAAGACTCAGTATGGGTCCATTAAAAAGCCATTACACGTCTTTGTATGTGCATTTACATAAAATGCATAGCTGCTGATATTATCACGAGCATTTCACATGGCTGCTCTCCAAGTCCATACGATTACATAGGGCTGCACTTGAAACACAGGATGCATGCGGCATGCCAATGCTGTGTCAATATGCCCTGCCCCTAATCCCTCAGGGTGAGGCGTTAATCCAGTGCCCTTACCCTTGACCTGACCTCATAACAGAACATTACCTAATTTCCTTTTGCTCTGCGATTAAATGAACTATAAAAAGTCAAATTAAATGCAAATTAGATTAAATTCAGGCAACCCCCCCCCCCCCCCCCCCACCAAAGTGTCTAACCGAACCCATGATGACTACAGATTGAGAACACTTTGTTCAGACTTTGCACTTCTGACTTTTGCACATCAGCCCCTGTGTCATGTGTACAGATGTGCGCCTAAACGTATGCAGACTTACAGTGATGTGAAAAAGTTTTTGCACCGTCCCTGATTTCTTCGTTTTTTGGCATATTTGTCCCACTTACATGTTTCACATCATCAAACCATGTTAATGATAGACCAAAATAACCTGAGTAAATACAAAATTTGTTTTTTGAATAATAACTTCATTATTTAAGGGAAAACCGCTATCCAAACCTACCTCTCTCTAACAATTGGTTTTGAGTGTGTTTGACTGTGGAATGGTATGATATTCGTGAAATATTGTGTTCATTTTATGCCAGACAAGACGAGACTCAAACCTTCCAAAAAGTTCTATCTTTGTCTCATCAGCCCACAGAAGATTTTCCCCAAAGCCCTTGGGGATTGAGAAGGCATTGGCAAATGCAAGATGAGCCTTTTGTGTTCATTTTGGTCTGCAGTGGTTTTCTCCTTAGAACTCTTCCACAGATGCTGTTTTTGCTCAGCCTCTTTCTTATTTTTGACTCGTGAACATTGACCTTTACCGAGAGAAGTGAGGCCTTTACATGTTGTTTTGGGTTCTTCTGTGACCTTCTGTATGGTAGGCTGGCCACTCCCAGGAAAGTTCACCACTATTCCAACTTTTTGAAAATAATGTGCTGTGCTGTGGTTCATTGAAGCCTTAGAAAAGACTCTGTAACCTTTTCCAGAATGAGAGATGTCAATGACTAGGTTTCACAGGTTTTTGTTTCGATTGTGGCATGATGTGTCATTTTTTGACATCTTTTAGGCTACTCAGCTTTGTCAGACAGCTTCTATTTAAGTGATTTCTTGATTCACCGTGTCTGGTGGGAATCGGGCTTGATGAGGCTATTACAATTGAAATCAGATTCTCATTAATGGGCCTAATCACAGTTAATCAATGATTTAACAAGAAGGTAGTTATGTTTTTACACAGAGCCAGGTAGGTTTGAATAGTTTTTTTTCTTTCCCTTAACATCTTACATTTCCAAATTATTATAAACTCTATAGCAGGGATGTCACATCATTTGACTTCTATCTTAGGAGGGCTGAACCAGTGAAACTTCTCTTTCTCTCAGTGTAAAGACGTTTAACCACACGTTTAGCAGTATGATATCTAAACATAAGCAAAAGAAGTGCAGTTTCAACATGCAGTCTCTGTTTTTGTACATGATAATGCTGCTGTAATAAATAAATGAAATCTAGCAGCATAACTCTTCAGTCTCTTCAATGATCTGGGCTTAGATTGTAAGAAATAAATGTTATTTATGTTATTGCCCAGACTTCCAGTTGTTATTTATTTATTTATTTATTCATTTATTTATGTTACCAACTGTAAAACAATAATGATAATTATAAAATGTTATATTAATGTTTAACTATTAAGTGTGTTCGTGTACTATGAATAGCCACGGAGGAGGTCTTTATCTGTAGAATTAGTTTTGAAACTTTCCCAAAGCTGTCCAGAGGACTCGGTTCAAATGTGTGCCGGCCTTGGCCTTGTGTTGACACCCCTGCTCTATAGATGCTGAGCTGCTGCGGCATCAGCTGAGCTTATATTGATGTTTTTATGATGTTTTATATCAGTATATAAGACGTGGGCATTTGCAGAAAACTATAAAGCCAGCATCTGTGTAATATGCATAGTATCTATCTAAGTACTTGATTTACAAATTGCATGCATTTTGATTTTTCTGCTTCAAACGCATGCAGGTTATCATTTTAATAATTATGCAAACCAGAAAAATCACGTATTGATAGACGGATATTCAGTTTTGCAGATTAAATATTCCAGCGTTATTTTGTGAATATTTGCCCCCGACCAGTACAGTGTAAAGATATTTGTCTGATATTTATCCTACGTTTTTATACTTTCGAGTCAACTTTTCTACATTCTGGTATTGTTTAAATAAATATTAAAATCTTTGAATAACATAAACGCATTATTTTCTATAGTATTTTTCTTTCCTCTCACGGGCGGTTTATGTTATTGCCGCTGTAGGTCGGCTATAGTAGCAAGTAGTCACATGGCCGGCCTGCATGCATGTAAACGGCAGTTGGAGCGAGACACAGAGAGAGAGAGAGAGCTGTGGGAGGAGGCGAAAGAGAGTAGGGGTGGGGGGAGGCAGACACAAACTGGGGGCGCTCACCGACACAACGGGGAGCGCTTTTTTTGGGTGTTTTGAGGGCGCCTGGCGGATCTCCGGGCTCCTCTTTTCGCCCCTCCGCCCGGTTTAATGTGTCAGGCCGCCGTTGGCTGCCCTCGCCACCTGGATATTATTTATAACCGACAAGAAAATTGGATGGGACGGACGCACGAGCTAGACAATCCCGGAAATAACATGCGTACTCTCAGCCTGTCACGTACGCTCGCCGAGGATTTGCATTGCTGTAGGCTGCCGTAGGTAAGCAGTGGATTGTGCTTTCCCGGCGAGAAATTTCAACGCTTTTAGACCCCATAACCTGCATATTTAACTTATTTAATACTCTGTGGGACGTTTTTCTTTTTTAATGGCGTTCAATAAACCAGTTTAGTCTTTCACTCTTTTTTTCAAGGAGCACTTAACAATAGTGGTGCTGCTAAGTTGGTAATGAATGGCAGACAAAGACGAAATATAAATAATTTAATTGGTGTTTCGTCAAAATTTAATACACTTCACGATGTCGAAGCTTATATTGAAAGCTCCTTTTATAGTGCTCATTTTATCCTATATTATATTTTTATTATTTTCGTGTCCATTGTCAAGGTGGTATAGCCCAACTGTGTGTAAAAGTGACTTGTTTTGACCTTCCTTCTTTGTAATGACTAAAATCTGGGTATAAAGCTGCAGTAAATATTAGCCTGCACATTTTTTCATTTTCTTTACACTGATAGCATATGCTTAGGATTGTATTTTTAAAAATGTATAGGCTGCACTGTTTTCTTGCTCCCACTTAAAAAATACTACGAGTAGGCCTATAGAAATACCGCATATAGCCCAAACTAGGAGTTTGTTGCACCACATAAATATTAGGAATTATTTACCTCAGCTCGCTGTGACAGGTGGTCTGCACTGTGCTATTAATAGGTCTAAAGTGTATCGTTTTGCTCTTCACAGAAATGCCCAACACACTCCCAGAATGTATATATAAGACACGGAGACAAACAAACACGCTGCTTCAGAGTATTTAAACCGGAGAAATGGGAGGAATCAAAGGCAGCAGAGGAGGACTTAGTCATGAAACTTCCATCGGTTGCGCCAGGGATCTTCTCCCCCAGAGAGAGCAGCAGCGGCTCAGCTAGAAAATGAGTCGAGGACGTGAAGTACGTGCGCATCCAGCAGATGACGAGATGAAATGGAGAGTTTGGAACAGACGGACCTTGTAAACCCAGCCCGCGGATCCGTCGCAGTTTCACACAAGCAGGACAGAGGAGCGAACAGCAGGCAGTTTGTCAGCGGACCGACAGAGATTCACCACACGCACCGGACGGACATGGGGCTTAATGGCTTATGTGCGGCGCCGGTCGGCAGTCCAACCGCGGCGGAGTTGCTCGCGGATCTAGCCTCTCAGACTGACTCCCCGGGAATCACCACCCCAACGAAGCAATGCAAAACCGGCGTGCCGCTCTACAACGGCGGGGTGGTGTCGCCTTCTGCAACTGTAGAGGGCAACCACTCAGGCGTTTTGGCTCAGACGCCAAATGGTTACCCTGCCCAAGTAACGGGGGTGGAGGGGCAAACGGAGGGCCCCGGGTACCCCCTCACCAGCAGAGCCTGCCTGATGGAGAACGGGGACTGGACTGCTCATGAGAAGCACCCGTCAGTAATGCGGAGACTCAATGGTGACTTAAAAACCAGACAGGCACAACAGCAGAAAAAGAGATGTGGGGAGAATCGGGAGATTGGGCCAGAGACTGTTAGCAGCCAGAGCGTGGGGTCACCTGGACCAGGAGGTTCTATGGACCCAGTATTCGCTTCAGGGGACTCAGACTGGAAGCGGAGAAGGTTGGTAGAGGGAGGCGTTGCAATCAAATCCACAGAAACCAGCAGAGTGGCTCGAGCAGTCGCCCCTCTCTCAGTTGCTGTCAACTGTGGCAACAGTTCCCATTCCAACCAGTTGGCTTCCTTAACCCACGCTGCCCCTCATAATAATCAGCACAGTGGGCACAGTAAGGTGGCTTCTTCAGGCCTTTCAGCTGCACCCGGGGTACATGCTGCCCGTAACCCACCACTTCCTGCAGGGACTGGCTGGTCAGCAGAGCGCATAGCCAAGCAGTACATCGTCCCTTGCATGACGTATTATGGGATTTGTGTAAAGGACAACTTCCTGGGCTCCCAGCTGGGCGACAGAGTCCTGGAAGAGGTGGAGACTCTAAATCAGAATGGGAAGTTTCGCGGTGGGCAGCTGGTGAGCCAGAAGAACATTCCCTCCCTTAACATCAGGGGCGACCAGATCGCCTGGGTGGAGGGGAAAGAGCCCGGGTGCGAGAACATTGGAGTGCTGATGGCTCACATAGATGAGGCCGTCATGTACAGCTCTGCCAATGGACAGCTTGGGAACTGTGTCATCAACGGACGCACTAAGGTGAGAGGAGTGGGGGAGGGGGGTGCGGGTGAGAGGTTTTAAAAGAAACGTGCCAGAGAAAACTGAGGACAATAAAGGATGCCAGAGTAGAGCGTCAGTCTGACCTCATTCAAGTTGTGCTAGGCTGTCTTGTCTGCCCTGCTTTACCTTCTGTAATGCCGACATGTGGGTAGGCAAACACACACCATCGCACCACATGGGGGGAGTGCGCAGGGCTCCTGCTGATAGGATGTCAAGATGAGCCCTGTGTTTGTGGCACATGCGACAGGGAGGGGCTGCAGTCCTACTCGCACTAGGTTTAGGCCTGCCGAAGTTTATCTCCCCGTCCTAGTCCCTGCCTTCATACCTCTGGCACCCTAAAGAAGAAGAAAACAAACTCGGAGGCTGTATCTCCTCTGCCATCGCTTTATCTCTGCCAGAATTTTCTATCATCACTGTGACCCACACAAACATGGCACTGGCATGGCAGAGGAGTGTTTGTTTTCATTTTCCTTATCTTATATCTCATGCCACGTGAGCAGCATATTTTTTTCCCCCTTATTTTACTTTAGCATCACTACGGGACCACGTGACCCAGTTTTTCCATTGATATTTTTCAGACACAGTGCACAATTATCAGAGTGCGGCCCTCAGGAATGAGCCCCAAAATTACAAAATACTTCCCCAATAGTTTGGAAAAACATTGTAGAAGAGCAAAGAAAAAAAAAAGAATTGAGCTTTGTTAGTCTTTTTCCATGTGTTTATCTCTGTGTATATCTGTTAGGGGCACTGTATATGCTCTCCCCCCTGTCTGTGTTTTACACGCCAGTCTGGGCTGGGTTTTTTTCCCTTTGTTTTTTTTTTGTTTTTTTTACTCCTGTTGAAATGCGCAACCTGTTTTATGTGGAAAAGACGTCCAGGATGGCTCTTGATGTTGACCAAATGTGATCTGATCTGAAAAAATAGACACATTAGTGCCCCGCATTGGAAAGCTGTTGCCTGCAAGCTGGCAACCACACAAATCTTTGCAGCGGTGTAGCAAATTAGCCAGCATTTATCTTTATGTCTATGCAAAATACAACACACAGATGTAAAAAGTTGCTTGAAACCATGTCAAACAACTGTTTTGTTGTTTGACATAATAAAACATGGATGGCTGGATATTCTTTTTTCACCTCTATTTCCATAGTGCTTCCTTCACAACCTTGCTAACTCTGCTCAACTGCACATAGCACCCTGCCCTAAATGCACGTCTTACCATTTACGTCAGCTTGAGACTGTGTTTAAACGAGGTCTGTTGTGCTTATCTCACTGCAGCCGCCTTTGCTCCCTTAGACTTGGGCCGACAGCGCTGCTTCAGTAAAGTGAAGCCACTTTAACATAATGCCTGAGCAGAGCTGTGTAAGGGTAACACATGCCCAGTTTTCCACAATTACCCCCATCCCTGCACTTCAGAGTGCAAAAACGGTAACAGTAAGGTCTTGTGCATTGCTGTTGAATGGCATTCTGCCGTGTAGCCTGTTTCACATTAGAAAACACTCTTTATCTTTTGACACTTTAAGCTGCAGCTTACTTTCATGACAGAAGTGGATTTATCTTTGAAGTCAATAACGCATCGAAGGTGTTACTTCGATCTTGAAAACAACAACAACAAAAGAGCAAACACTTAACCCTGGAAACAGTATGCAAATCTTCAATGCAGAACTTTAACGCTGTAAATGTAAAATGTGCTGATTCCAGTTTCTGCAGTGCCATGAAATTAGGAGGACAGTGAGTCCATCTTGGTTGATCATTAGATCCCACTGTTTTATTGTGAAGGATAATACATCCTTCACATTGTATTGTGTTAACTTTTACCTACTTGGTCATTTATTCTCTCTTAGATGGGATAACAAACCGAGTGACCCCTTGGTGAAAATGTTCGAGACCTAAACGGCAGTTGTTCCCAGGCCAAAATCACACTGTGCGCTCTTGGTGCATAAAAATAAAAGGAAAAGGTCCGTGCTGCATAGTACAAAATGTCCTGACGGGGTGTTTGTGTGGATTAGTGCGAGAGACAGCATTGCAATAGGTGCAATTGTGGAGTGAGCATGAAAGAAAGAGGAAGTGATAAGGAAAGGAAAAGAGGCAGTACAGAATACAGATACATGGAAGGGGCACCGTGTGGGTACTGTGGGGTATGTCCTCTCGTCTCATTGTCCAGAGTGCACTTGTATTTTTTCCTTCTTCTTGGTGTTTTGTTCTTCTTCTCGTCTTTTCCTTTTCTCCACATTTCCATTTCCCATGTCCTTTACTCCCTTTCTCCTTTCCCGTCTTATCAAGCCCCTTATTTGCTACTTGGGCAAAATATTTCCCTGCCGTTACCTTGGTAACAGGCCCATACAGAGTAGAGCTGCGCATTGTGTATGAAAGAGATGAGGAGAGGAAAAAGAGGGCCTGGCAATGCCCAAAATAATGCCGCACCAGCAGTAAGTAGCACTTTTTTCCCCCAAGCCTGTCTACTGTTAGTCAGCAGAAGGTCGGTTTCGCTGCCTGTGAGAACGTAGGGGGGGAGGGCAAGGATTATAGTGTTAACAAAAGGAATGGTAATGTAGTTTACATGACCCAAGGTGATACTGGGAAAGTCTCAAAGATAAGGGATGGGTTAGAGGAGATGTGAACGTGCAGTGGATCAGGGGGTAAAGGGAAGACAGTGATGAGTAAGCGAGAAAGGGCGATGCAGCAGAAGCTTGGCATATTAGGACTGTCTGTCTTCTGCAGTAAAGTGTCCTTAGATGCCCCTCCTAGAGCTCAGCAGTGCCACCGTGCAGGCAGGAGCCAGAAGCCATATACTAACATGCAGGCTAGTCACTGAGTTCCTAGCATGGATGGATGAATGGTTGGATTTTCAGTTTTTAAATCAATTTAATTTCCTTTCAGATAATCTATGGTAAATAGAACCAGATTTTAGTTTTAACAGTTAACATTTGGTTTCCCTTTGATGACAAGTTGGTGTTTATAAGGACGCTCGCCTATCATTTTGAATGCATCTTAATGTGATGCAAGATCCACTACTCTAAAGGACCCAGGCTTGGTGCATAATATGTGGACACTGCAAGTGGAGCTGCTAATTTTTTATTTAAAAAAAAGAAATAGTGTATCGTGTACATGCAAGTGCTAACACCTACAGAAATAGTCGTTTGACTGTGTTGCTTAGGCTAATATTCAGGGCTGACTCATACATAATGAGTGCAACTGTGGCTATAGTGTGACTGACTCATAAGGGCACAGCCTATGATCTCACCATTTTTTTTTTTTTTTTTTGGTTTCCTTTGTGTTATGTTCACACAACCCCCAGTAATATACTGTTAACACTAGAGGCTGTTTATTATATTTGAATTTGATTGTGTTTCTAACCATTTATATCTTGTCATGCGGCAATGTCTCCAAATGCGATAGTGCTGTGTTGATGTGATTCAGCTTTAGAGGCTCACATTTTGTAACCTTTATGACAAATTTGCTTTGTTTTTTTTAATTAGGCGAGGGAAAGAGGGGTCTACCGCCTCTTTCAAAACACTCACAGAGTTGCAGTGAATCCAGAGCCTGGGCATGTTAGCAGATATTGGCTATTCTTGAATGGGAGAGTGACGCTCACTTGGATCACAGTATTGCTGGTTACGATATGCTGCTAGGGAACAATTATAGAGTTATTGTTTGAACTCACCTAGTCCAGGTCACACCCCTTCTCACACACTCTAAAACCATCCTTCAGCTTATATGAGCAGCAAACTAGATGTGAATCTGGCTAAGCAGCGGGCCGTGACATCAAACTGGAAGGACGGCAGAGATATGAGCTGGGAGTGGCAGAGCAGTTCAGCCTTATTCCGTTTTATTCACCCGGGCTCTTATCTCATTCTCAATTTGGAAGAAATTAATAATCTCTTTTTCTGCCTTATATGAAATCTCCTGCTCTCCCGGCTGCTTCTGAGTAATCAGTTTTGAAAATGGAGCAAAAATACTGTGCTGCTTGACAGTTAGTGACTCAGCAGGTCTCAACTGTGGAATTGAAAAAGATTTGTTTTACCGAAGAGTCCTTGAGCAGCTCCAAACATTCACCATCAAGGACTTGTTGACTTTGATTCACGTTTTCCATTCATCCGAAAGGGCTCAGGGCTGCCACACGGCAAAATGTGGTGGAGCTTGAGGACTTCTTATGGCCTGCTAACACACTTCTCTTATGTTTTCATAGCATAGAGTTTGGGAGACATGCACAAGGCTTGTGGGATCCGCAGGGGACTTTAAAATAGTAATGTTTGCAATCGTAAGGAGTAACCGATCTGTGCAGTCTATATCTGTTGCAGCAGATGAGTAATATGACTCAAAGAAGATTTTAAAACAGTTTACTTCAAGGTTAACGAATCCTGAAATGTTTATAGAAACATAACTACCACCAAAACCCAGACTGAAAACTTTTTGTTTCTGAAATTCTCCTTAGCGTTTGGAGTCATCACAGTCAACTTGCAACATTTTCGCTGCTGTGCGTCACACGCATAAAAATGCCTTCCCTCTCTTTTACTCGATCACCTTGGCAAACGGCAATGCCTGTATTTGTTCAGCCATCCCCTCACCCAGCCCCACCCCCCACCTCCACCATAATTCCCTTTATCTGAATATGCATGTGGCATTGGAGTTTATTTTTGTTCTCCTCCAGAACAGCTTGTTCTGCCTGCCTGCCCGTCACCTGGGTATCTACCCAGAGCTGCCATTAGAGCATTAATGCTGGTCCCGGGCAGGCATGTGGTTGGTGCAAGTTAGACTTGAACTTACTGAGGGCAGAGATGAGGAGGTGAGGAGGGCCAGAAATGACAGATAGGATCAATCTGTGCTGTTTAGCTGACCGAGTATTGTGTGTCTGTGGGTGTCTTTGCAACTGACAGGTGTAGACTGATGCAATGTGGATGTATATGAAACTTATTTGAATACTATCGTTGTGTTAGAAAACTTTTTTTTTTCACCTCAGGTAGGTTTAAAGTAAAAAAAATAAAATAAAATAAAACAATAACTCATCTTCTAAATTATATACCCTTCTTGTGTACGCTTTGATAGCCACAGTGTATCAGTGTGTGTTTAATGTGCTTATGCTTCAGGGCTAGGCCTGAGGTGCCTGATGCGGCATATCACATGTTAATTGTGGTTAATTACAGCTGTTAAGACAGTTTGTGGGCATTTATGGGGGAAACCATACTTCCTCGAATACATGCACACCCAAAATATTTACACTCATTGTTAAAAAAAATCAAATTTGTCATTGAGTATCAAAATGTCTGGTATGCCATTTTCCCGTTCTCAATAGCTGCGATTCAGATGATCACAAACTGCCTACCAGAATCCACTCTGCTTCAAAGATAGCTGCCATTAAAATAAAACTACTTAAATTATACTCATAAGTATTCTAAACCTGAATAGTTTCCTTTTTGAATTAAGTCAAAACCAAAGTATACTTTTATACAGTTTGCTGTCTGTTTAATGACAGAGTGCATATTTATCCTTTGCACAACAGAGCAGTTTCTTGTCTGCACAAAAGGGCACGTACCCCCACAAGACCGATCAGCTGTTATCACTGTGGTACAAGGTCAGCAGCAGAAGGTAATATGTGAACTTGACAGTGACAGCAGGGTACTAAAAGTAGACTCCTGTCTGGTATTTTCTTCTTCTTGTCACTGTTAAGCATGAAGATGTTGCCAAGTCAACAAGTAGAGGTCCTAAGGGTTAGCACATCAAAACAAACGATCAGTTGTTCAAAAAAAAAGCTGAAAATGACCAATTATAAGGCAAACGTTCTTTTTTTTTTACTCCTCAGCTGTAAAAGGCTGACGGGCTACTGTCACTTCACTGGATGGGTGGCTTGGACAACTTAGTTTATGACTGCGATAGAATTCACAGAATTAGAGGCGTCATAGGAGCTTGAAATGATGCCATAAGTATGTCTACTGCACGTCATGGATACGTTTGAATATCAGTGACCTCAACCCCAAAGAGTCAGAGGTCATATTTTTCTGAAAATCTTGTAAATGCAATAACTAAAAAAGGAAGTCACCTAAGATTGAAAACAATGCCATTGGTACATCTAATAGAAATCTCAAGACGAGTTCTAATCCTGGTGACTTTGACATCAAAGTCAAAATATAACCCAAGAGAGTGCCTGGTTCTCCTGGAAATTTGTAAAAGGGTGTTGTTGTTGTTGTTTTCTCTTCCCACTGTCATCGAGTACTTGCTCAAAGGGACATTTGATTGTTGGGAGCTTTTTCTGTATTATTGTAGGGACTCTGTTGAAATAAATTCTAAGTAAAGCGACACTTCTGATGATCATAAGCAACACACCCAAATATCAGTTTTTCATTTTGTACAATTAGTCTGCTCATTTTGACACGGACACCGTTTGGCAGTCTGAGTCGAGAAGAAGAGGTCTAGAGGTTAATGAGCGCTAACTCTGAGCACTGGTCAGTAATGAGAGCAGACAATTGTTGCCAAGCAGAGTCACACAATCAAGCTCCAGCAAGAGGAGCAGGAAAGCATGCATCAAAGCTCTCCTCCACAAAGTGTTACAGTCACTTTTGAGTTTCACAAACAACACTAGGGCAGGTGTGTTTGTCTTAGAAATCTATGTGAGCAGGCTTTCATTTCCTAAGGGTACAAGTTGCACACTGTAGTACAAGAACTTAAACGATAGCATCAGCTGAGTTAAATCAATACTGCGGCATTGCAGAAGCTGTTAGCAATGAATAATAGTGTTGCTCAGCTGAGCTAAAGTGATGCGCTGACTCGTATTGTAAGCTTTGCTTCCCATGCAGAACAGTATAAGTCAGGACAATGACAGTATCTTCTTCTGTTGTCAACCTGGAGAGATAATAATGAAATCGTTACTTTACACGCTGCCAAATGCATCAGCCACAATCTCCGCTAGCAAAAGCTGATGTCAGTGAGTAAGTGAATCAGCTATAGATTTTTCATATATTGAGGAGACTTAAAGCCAGAGGAGACAGTTTGGAAAGTTACTGAAGCACAAATATGCCCCAGTTAATCTGAAGAATATGTCACACAGCCTTGTATGTATCATATTTTGGCACAGCTCTATTTTTTAGCTTAGAGCCACGTGGCCCTGTAGTGGCCCTCGTCTGGAATGCGCATTGAACGAAGGACTTTTCACGCAGGTCTCAGTTCCCTCTGTCTCCCCAGAGAAAGCAGTGCTCTCCTGCTTCACAGCCTCCAACTCTCAGACGTCAAGCAGGGGAAATACCAGCGTGAAACCATTGTTTGCAGATCGTTTCTTTGCTGAACTCTGACATATTTCTTTGCTTTACTGCGCTGCCCACTTAATAACACTATGGAAAATATTAAATATTCAAATAGTTCTCATATGTGTGTGTGTGTATAGATAGATAGATAGATAGATAGATAGATAGATATGGTGGTGTGGTTTACTGCAGAGGGTTCGAAAAGCCAAATGTGAGAGATGATTAGAGCAGGAGATGAGGAGGAGGGTAGCTGCATCATTCCTGCACTGCATCACTCGTATCTTCTTCTGCTAGTGGCCGACCTTTCAAACAGTCCTGCCTCTACGTCACAAATATGGCTGAAGAATAAAAATCAAAAGTTAACTCTGTGTTTTTTGTTATAATGGTGTATCAAGTTATAACTAATGATCCCATTTCTTCTGTTTTTAGGCCATGGTTGCCTGTTACCCAGGTAACGGGGCAGGGTACGTGCGCCACATTGACAACCCTAACGGTGATGGACGGTGCATCACCTGTATCTACTATCTTAACAAGAACTGGGATGCCAAGGTACTTTTTTTTTTTTCCACTATTTGTTTCACTCAGTTGAAATGAGAAAAACAAGTTAATCATCATTAGTTTATATGTGCATCTAATGTTATTGCATTATTATTATTATTATTATTATTATTATTATTATTATTATTATTATTATTATTATTATTTTGTATTTGGTAACCCGGGTAAACCCTCAGGGATTCGCATTATGTACTTTGGAAATAAGTATTTCTGTTTCTGTTATGCATTTGTCTTGTTTGTAGAAACAAGGTGGGTTGCTGCAGATCTATCCTGAAGGCAAAAATGTGGTAGCCAAAGTTGAACCTCTCTTCGACCGGCTGCTCATCTTCTGGTCTGACCGCAGGAACCCACATGAAGTTAGGCCATCCTACTCAACTCGGTTAGTAACACGTGCACATTAATTCATGTAAAATCATGCAATGGGTTATTGGCAGCTAACTGTCTTCTGTTGCTCAGTTCTATAAGTACATCATAATTAACATACAGTTTAGGCTTTTTGTGCAGAAACCAATATATGTTTTTATCAAAACTATTCCAGCAGGTTAAAAAAAGATTACATTTATATTTTCCCTTCGCTCCCCTCTCTCTATTCTCATTTTACTTCAGCGTGGTCATTGTCGCTGTCTTTCTACAGTTGATTACGTGTGTGTATAGAAAACTGGGTTTCACATGGGTTGAAGTTTCCTTGATGCTCACACGAGATAATTCGGACCCACTTTACAGACCGACGTAAGCGTTTGCATGTTTACAAGGTCACGTGGCACGTAGCCTTTTACTCTCCCATCTCCTCTCCTCTGCGTCTTGACTGCTGGGGGGCGAGGTGGGGCCGGAGGCAGGAAATATGTGTTTCCTGAGGAGGTCGGTGGGAGGGAGTGGGGAGGAAGGTTCGATTGCAGGACTCGTGCTGGAAAGGCAAAGACATGAGAGACAGGAATAAACAATACAGCCCCACAGGAGAGATGAGAAACAGCAAGAATTAACCCTATGCTGCCTGTGACGTCTGCGGCCTGGTCGACTTTAGTTTTTATTTGTTTCTTTTGTGACATTGTGACTGTTACGACCATTGTGTTCCTGCTTTATCAATTTATAAAATTCACCGACAATGTCTCTTTTTCTTCTTCTTTCCCCCCCCCTTTTTTGAGCCATAGTTCTTTGTCCATAAAAAGATGAGCTTTTATTCTTATTTCAGCCTTTTTGTCTCTTGCAGCTATGCCATCACAGTCTGGTACTTTGATGCCAAAGAGAGAGCAGAGGCTAAAGAGAAATACCGATTGGGTGAGTTTTCTTTTTAGTTAAATGCCTGTTTTTACTCTTCTTGGTTGTGAGCAGCGTTACTTCTTGTTTCATTTGGTGTAATTTGTTGCTGCATGACGATTAATATGCCTTTTCTGTTCTTGCATCCATAGCAACAGGACAGAAAGGTGTTCAAGTGCCTGTCACTCAAAACAGCAGGACATAAATTTCATCTAGTGACTGGAGAGCACTCTCAGAGCATTACGTGCCTTCCTTAACTGTTAATGGACATTGTGATCATTAAGAGAGATGCCGTTAAGCTATTCATCACCGCAGCTCTTCAAGTGTCGGCTGTCAGTCACATCACAGCCCGTGATGTAATATTTTTGCTGCCCTATGACCGGGCTGCTGAAACGTAGAGCACAGCGAGCAGGATTGTATGGCAAAGGTCATATTTGCACGTCGTGGCAGAAGAAGAAGGAAAATTACTCGAGCTTCTCACTGAATCGCCTATGAACACAGCAAGCTGAAAAACATTATTGCAGTTTTTGCCTCTTCAGTTATCAGCGGTGTATTGAGATATCAACGTTTTTACTCTGCTCTCGTGTATTTTTTTTCCCAAGCGAAACACAAAGAGCAAAAGTGGTAATTCAATGGAAGCACAGTAGAAATCAATGCCATGAGATTCTTTGCTCCCTCTCGACTGTAAGACGGTGCCCTTGTCTCATGATGTGGGCAAGACAAAAGAAATGGGCCATGACAACGCAAAGAGTGGCTGTCAGCCACGATGCAGTGGACAGCCGCGCCGTGGCACTCATTCGGTCCTGGCTGAAGGACTAAGTCTTGCATGGGGACAGCTCTACGCCATAGTTTGACACTGTATAGCACACTATGTAGGGTTCATAACGTGTGGGCTCTTTTGCAACAGCCTCTCAAAATGTTAGTGCAGTAAAAACACAAATCCAGCATGAACCTTTTTTTTTTTTTTTTCCTTTTTAAATCTTTAGTAGATACAATGTGTGTGTAACAGATTTTCAAGAAGTAAAGCTGTTCTACATACTTGATGGAGAGTCCTCTGTAAATGACTGAAATTCACAGCTCACATATGAGACAAGAGGCAAGATGTTCACTGACAGTGGACAATACAGGGTTTGAAGAAACAGACTGTGGTGTGTGTGTGTGTGTGCGTGTGCGTGCGTGTGCGTGTGCAGATCCAGCTTGATTCTTAACTGTTCTTAACAAAATGGAAACAACAAGTTACCGTCAGTGTGGATGCTGTTGAACAAATCTACCCACCCCCTTAAAAAAAAAAGAGGCACACAAAAACAAAAGATGGATAGCAAAAAGAATCAATGACTAAGTTAAACTTAGCAGTAATTAACAGAACGATTAATCTCAGTCAGTCTGTGTGCTCGAGACCTTTTCATATACAAAGCACAGAGTAAACATACACTGTATTAATGAACAAACAGCCAGGTGAAAATATTGCCTACTCGTGTGTGGGATTGAGTATTTGTGTGTAAATGTGCACGTGTCCGTCAGATTCCAGTGTCTTGAAGAGGGCTGCAGGTATTCTCTCAGTGTATCTTAGATTGATTGAAGAGAAGGTTGTTTTTTTTTTTAATTAAAAAAAAAAAGCACTTTATTGTTTAAAATTGCCATGCGTGAATGATAGAGGGGGAAAACATGATTACAAATGTAGATTAATGACTTTATGCTGTGTATAATATGATTCATTCAAATGCAATAGAAACTAAAACAATGAGAAAGAATGGAAGCTGTCTTTAAAAAAAAAAAAAAAGTATTTAATTAAAATGTTTCTGTTTTGTACACGAAAATTGTAATTGATCTACTGGGCAGGGGAGAAAAAAAATTCTAACCTGAATTGTAGTTTAACTTGCTTTCTCTTCATCTTAGATGAGCGAGCATCCAGTACATTTTTAAATAAACATGTTTTCCAATGCAGTAATCTCATGTGAACTTTGTAAAGCATTGTGACTATAACAAGTGACTTGATCTCCAAATATCGTATAAATGTGTGCTTATATTAAAATAAAATGTCAAGCTCTTTTTTTCAATGTTGCACACAATGTTCCAAGGCCAGTTCACCAAAGTGAGTATCTGTCTTTACACAGAGAGCATCAGGAAACCGATAACGTGTCGGTCCTTATGATTCATAATGAAAAATTATGAAACTAACTAGCAGGCTCAGTGTTGCAGATTTAAATGTTCATAGGCAAGTTGTTAAGGGTACGCCTGATCCAACAAGCGTCTCTAATTAAAGTTTATTATAAAGCGTCTTTTACAAAGTGCCTGACACCAAAAGAACCTTAAATAGAAGAAAAACGGCTAAACGGATGCTTAAATGGTACAAGGCCAGAGATATGATTACCCAAAGTGTCTTTAGCTAGAGTTTTTTTGTTTGTTTGTTTTTAAAACCTTCTGAAGCAAAATTAAGGGAACAATTAGTGAAAAGGTTTGGGAGCCTCCATCCCAAAACCCTAACCTCCATGTGTTTTAAGTGACTTTATGGGACCAGCAGTAACAAACAAAGGCCTAAGGGACCAGTTGGAAGAGTGGGTCGATAAAAGCTGTGCGATGTACTGGGGTGTGTTACAATTCAAAGCTTTAATAGTTAATATGAAACTGACAGGAAGCCAGTGAATAGATTTTAGAATTTGGGAGATATGAGGCCTTCCCCTTGAATCAGTTAAAAGATGTGCAGCTGCATTTTGGGCAGTTGGCAGTATAAAGATGATTTGTTGAGACGGTTAAATTGAGAGTTTAAATAATTTGAGTAAGAAAAGATAAAAGCATGAACAATTTGATCCAACTCTGTCTTGGAAATAACACACATTAACTTATCAGTGTTCCTTGGATGAGAAAGTGACAGATGAATTATCTTCCTGGCATAATTGAAGACAGGGAATTGTCCAAGACAACCCCAAAGTTACGTGCAGCACTGTGCGCTCACTTGTTACCTTATTTATAGTTTGGACTTGAGCTATACAGCTCTCCAGTATTTCTGAGGATCTTTCAGGTTTTTTTTTCTTCAAACCTAAGGACATGTTTTTCTAAAAGTCTGTCACAAAACATATTTGTTCCCAATTCCTCAGTTGAATCTAATGATAAAACAGTTTAAGTTAACAGAAAAGGAGTAATTCCTTGTGTAATTCCAAACAACTTTTAGCCAAAACCTAGAGATATCTCGGTATGGTGTGCAGTATCTGACACAGGACATAGAGATGCATCTGGCACATCAGGTAATCCTTGTACTGCTCATTGAGGGAATCAGAATAAAAGACCTAAGATCTGCCAAATTACACAGAAAATCAGTGGCAACAGGTCTAATGGAGAGATGAATCCAAATTTGGATTCTGGTTCAAATCCTTGTCAATATATGTACATATATGGAGGAGGTCAGTAGAAAACATGGTGCATTTTTAGCCCATGGTGTTAGGGATCTTATCACAACTGATGACATTGATTGGCATTTTAATGCCAAATACTGTACTGCCAATATAGTAAAAACGTACCATGATAGAAAAACACTATCAGCAATGGACTGACCTCCTCAGAGCCTGATCTCATCTTTACTTTTTTTTCAAATCCTTGAAATTTGAGAACAAAGAAGTGTCTCTATGATGTAATGGCTAAGACATTCACCCCAGTTTAAGGCTGGGAGGAAACAAATTTAACCTCAGGGGGTCACAAGCTAAGGTACTCCTATTTCCAGTCCAAGCCTGGATAAATGGAAGGGTTGGATGAGGAACTGTGCTGTATGAAATGTGTGGATCCATTTGCTGCGGTGAACCCTTTGGGAAATAAGGGAGCAGCGATGAGGTTGGTATCACAATGTTGTTATAAATTTGAACTTTCATGTGCCATAATATGTTCAGACCAGATATCTACCCCACATGGGGATATGACCCATGAAAACTTACCCCATCCACTTTTTAAAGTTTCTCAGAAAACAGTTGTAAGAAAATCCAAGCCTCCAGTGCTTGTTTTTGTTACTTGGGATTCAAAGCCGTTAAATTTCTGCGTCGTTTCTAATGAAACTATTGATATTGATGCTCAAAGTTGATTACAGGGGAAAAAAAACAATGATACAGCTTTAAATGTTCTTGAGCTATTGTGCATAATAATCTTTACATCTTATACCGACTATCTCTACATTCAGGGTCACAGTCATTTATACATTACGAGATAAATAAGTGTTTTTTTTACAAGGATTAAGTAAATTTTTGTAAAAGCTTACGTGTAAAAACCAAAGAAGTGACATTTCCTTAAATATTTTGTTAAAAATACTCATATGAATGTTCAAGCTCATCTTGAATCCAATCTGTTTTTTAAATCAGACAGAATTTTTAAATCAGACAGAACCTTTGTCAGCCTGTACTTTCAAGTACAGTGATGACTGATAACTACCTTAACCTTTTTTATTTTCTCATTGTCATGAGATTCATTATCGTTGTTCAATGCAATAGCTTCTGTTAACATCCCGAGTAGCCTTCACAGAGCTGGAACACACTGTTGCCGGAACATTAGGGGATGCTAATCCCTTTAGATTTTGATATCCTTTGATGTTTTAGTGAGTTTTCATGTAAAAAGCCCAAACATGTGAGAATATCATTTTGAATTTAATACCCTTGGAATCTAAGCTGTGTCAAACAGACCAAACGACAGCAAGTTGTCAGATTCTGTTGCACGTATTGTGGTGTATGATTAAAAGAGTTGGATTTTATTTGATGACATTTCAGCTCCATTAGCTCATCATAGTCACGTGTAAAACACATGACAGATTTTAGGGCTTCACTATTGACATGATACCTGATAGGATCACGGATAACTCGATTTGTTTAATGTAGAAACACAATGAAGGCAAGGAAACAATAGCAACATTTTACACAGGTCATCTTGATCGTTTCGGTTATCGCCCTCACGACAGTGTAACCACGTGATCTGAATAGACTGCCGGCATAACTACCTCCTGCTGTTGGCAGAGAAACCATCCACGGTGCTTATCAGTGTTTTTACATAAAAATATTTTATGAATGTAGTACAATCTCACAATCTCTGCTATTATGATCCTAGTTTCTTCCAAATTATCTTGAACAAATGTCAAAAATGAATAGTAAAATGTAACCAAACACTTGCTCAGACAATGCACTTTTATGGCTCTTGTTTCTGTTTGGAAGCACTGTTACAGTTTCCTCTTTCCTCCTACACAGTCCTGGAGGCTCACCTAAACTATGATTTGTACTTTTGTTGTTTGAAAATTTTAAATTCACTGTTGTACAGTGTCCCTTCTGAATGTGTGTGATACTGGATAAGGAAAGATTTAAACCCTACCCCTAATTTTCTGATTAATTGCAACAAAATGTGCTTTATACTATATAACCACATGTCCGCACTGTCCTTGCCAGCACCTTATTGTTGGATGTAGATGATTGGTTGTTTTTAATATTCTTACTCATTGCGCATATAGAGAGAATATAGGTTGCAGAGAGAGAGAGCCATTATGGAGAGCAAGTAATGTAAAGATTTATTGCAGTCCTTACAAAGCATACCACTGGAAAAATTTCTGAAGTGACTTTGGGAAAACTCTGTTAAAATCTTGCAGCGTATCAAGTCCTGAAGCCAGATAAGCACCTCCTCATGCAGTGATTGAGCTTAGATATCTATGTCATCTATATGTACCCAATTAGAGGGGGGGGGGAAGCAACACCTATGAGCTAAGATCTATGAACTAATGGAACTATTTTGCTTGTTCACAGAGTTTTGTATTTTCTGTTGTTTATTTGCTAAATCTTCAAATTAGCACAGACAGCTTTCCTTGCAGCACTGCCACAGTATTTGTATCTGCTGGTGGGGTTGCTCATGGGTTAAAACAAAACCAAAATGAACCAGTAACTTTTTAAGCGTATATTTTACAGTGTGACAGCATGTGTTTCAACAGCTTTGTGGCAAACACGTTTATTGCTGTCACATTGTGCCACCTTGTGGTTTATTTCCCTTCACAGACGAACCGTCTACTTGGTTGTAATGTAATGTGTAACCACTAGGTGTCAGCACTTACTATTCAAAGTTTTCATGATGCCAACCTCTCCCTGTAAATGGCGCAATGTGGAGTTTGGCCTGATGTAATCTTCTCTCACAATTTCGTCTGCCACCTTTGTTTGGTGGAGTGTATTGGCTGTGATCAAACACACCCAGATATATGTAGTACTGATTAAAACAAACTTGGGCCTTTGTGATGACACTGTAAAAGTGTGTAAAAGTGGATTTATAGTAACGATCTGTGCCATGGGTGAGGGATAATTCATAGTAGTACCTTGTAACTGATCACTTTATAGTAAAAACATTGCACATGTGCTACATTATTTGACAGTTTTGACAAATGTAAGCGTTTTCTGTCGGGTTTACCAACACTTCACATGTTCAGTCTAGTAACAGATGTACAATCTGCACAGGCAGGGCAGCATATGTTATTAAATATGCACATTTTTTGGGTTCTTGTACTTTATTTTTGTGCTTTGGTTGATGACGTGATTCTCCCAAGCTATTCGTCCTCAACTTTTTGAAAGTTACTGCTGACTCAAAGCGGTCCCTCTCACTGCTTTTATCAGCTGGGATCTCCAGTGCAGGTTTAAGGTAATGACAGCAGTGTTTTGCACTTTGACCCTTTCAAAAGCACGTGTTTTTCTTTCACTTTTGCAAGCTTCAAAATCACTTCATTTGGCCCATTACTGTTGTTGTTGTAATGTGATGTTCCACTACTCTGAGAAACTACTTTCCCTTTAATTGTTTTTCTTTACTTTTGCTGGGTTTCACGGTGTCACATTGCACGTCCATGCAAATGTTTTATTAGTGTCCAGCTGTGTCTTAGCAACCGTATCCCCATATCTCACAAAAATGACTCTTACTTTGAAGTGAATACAGTTCCTGTCAGATATCGTGTA